TACTTTTTATTTTATTTGTTATTTAATTAAAATATCTATTAATTTATATAAAAGATTCATTTTAAAACAAACTCATAAAAAAATTAAAAAGCTATTATGAAATCTGAACTTTATAATATTTATCATTAAATAAATAATAAAAATTAGCCTCTAAAGTTAAAAAATTGTTCGAATTTTATTTGTCGAATTCAATTATATTAGGATGTAAAATAAAAAACTCAAAAAATATATATATAAATTAAAAGACCGAATTTTCAAACGTTTCGACCGGGTAGAGGCGTCGGTCCACTGCGGAAATAAAGAATCGATGCGAAAGCGACACTCACACAAAACTCAAATTATTTACTTTTTATTTATTAATTTCCAAAGAAAAAAAATTTAAAAAGTTTGCGACGAAGGTCATTGATGCAATCAAGGTTGCATTTTTCCTCGATTCCCATTTCCGCGTTATCTGCGTAAGTTCCCTTGTTCATGTCCCAAATTCCAAATCGTTCTTTATTTTTTTCATAGTTATCTCAGTTTTTGTTTCTTTTCTGTTTTTTCTTTTCTGGGTTTGCTTTCAACATTGAAAACACATCCCGGATTTTAATGTGGGTGTCGACGATGATGCATCAAGACTCTAGCTTGAAAGTCTTCAATGGAAATGGGTATCTGTTTTATGGTCTGTTCTCATCTGGGGTTTTGGTTTTGTTTTGAATTTTTGTGTTTTTTTGTGTTGCAAACTCAAAATGGGGGTGTTTTGATTGGGTTAACTATGGTGATTAATCTATGGTAATGGGAGTTTTTGGAGCATTCCAGTTGGGTATTTCATGGAAAAGAGGGAAGCTCTTTGAAATAAGGAGATGGGGTTCGTTCTGTCTAACTTGTCCTGTCTAATTTTCTGGTGGTTTGATGGATCTCGGAAGCTTTAAAAGTTAAAGCTATCATCTTTGGGGGGCATAGTCCCTATAAGACTGGTACATTAGTTATGCTTTTCCAAGAAGGTTTTGTCTTGGAAACTATTCTTGTCTCATATTTTGATTTATTTAGTGTTTGTTATGTGTAAGTATTATGATTGCTGTTTTTGTGCTACACAATTTCATGTTTTATGGTTGAATCTAATAAGTGGTACTTCCCTTTCTGTTTACTTCTCTTACATGGCAATACCAAATTTTTGGTGGTGGACAAATTGTTCCTTCCTATATGCTTTTTGCTTCTTGTTTTGTTGTTTGTCAACTGTCTTAAAAGAATCTGTTGATCTTAGTTCAGTACTGCATTGAGGGCACTTTTCTCATTTCTAGAGAAGTCCAAGACAAATGACAGTATGGCTTGAATTCTTTCCCTGGTGATTACCTTTAGCATGCTTGTTGAGGACAAGTCAGTTTTCATATACTACTTTTGATATTTAACGTAGTGGATGCCTGTCTTGTTAGTTTTTGTTTTCTTTTCTCCCTATTGTACGTTCTACTAGATTTCAGAGAGTGATTTGCTCTCATCAGGCTTTTGTCAGGTGGTATTCTATATACTGGATACCTAATATCTATCCTCTATTGCAGAGAAATAGAGAGTGAAGCTCTTTGAAGATATATAACAATTCTTAATTTATTGATTGAACTGAAGATTTCATCAGTTTGGGGTTGCTATGGCTCCTGGAGGCAGTACTTGCAGAGAAGTTACTGAATCTCATCGTAGCATTGTAGATTATGACATCACAACAGAAAGATCAGAATCTAATTGTTCAACTGCAACAAGTACTGTTGGGTTTGGTGGAAAACTTGGACTTCATCAAAACAGTGGTGTTTATGAGCTCCTAGAGTGCCCTGTCTGCTCAAATTTAATGTATCCTCCAATTCACCAGGTCTGTTCTCAAATTGTATTTCGATATTTTTGAAGCTATTAAGTGATACTTATTAAATTTTTGATATACCTTGTTGTAATTCTATGATATAGTGTCCAAATGGACACACTTTGTGTTCAAATTGCAAGACTAGAGTTAGAAATTGCTGCCCCACTTGCCGCAATGATCTTGGAAACATAAGGTGTTTAGCTTTGGAGAAAGTTGCAGAATCCTTGGATCTTCCTTGCAAATACCAGAGCTTGGGTTGTCATGATATCTTCCCATATTACAGCAAGCTAAAGCATGAGCAACACTGTCAATTCCGTCCATATAATTGCCCTTATGCTGGGTCTGAGTGCTCAGTCACAGGTGACATCCCAACTCTTGTTGCTCATCTTAAGGATGATCACAAAGTTGACATGCATGATGGGTGTACCTTCAACCATCGATATGTCAAATCAAATCCTCATGAAGTTGAAAATGCCACATGGATGTTGACTGTAAGTTTTTCTGTGCTAACTATTGGTGGATTGGATATGATTCTTCGACATTAGAATATATTTTTAAACAGGTTAACATAATCCCTCCGATGACACCAATAAAATCTATGATTGCCTTGTTCACTTCTGAAATGCGTATCATGAGGTTCTTGCTGAAAGCGAAATTCATCTGATTGGTTCACCTGCATTCTATTCAGAGTGTTGCAGTTGCAGATGTGTTTCTTTAGCAAAATTAAATACTATCTTGGTATATAGCACCACAACAGTACAATCTCTATCTTAAACTTCACCATCTTTTGCAGGTATTCAACTGTTTTGGAAGACAGTTCTGCCTGCATTTTGAGGCTTTCCAGCTCGGCACAGCACCAATGTATATGGCGTTCTTACGTTTTATGGGTGATGACAATGAGGCAAAAAAGTTCAGTTACAGTTTGGAAGTTGGTGCCAATGGCCGTAAACTAACCTGGCAAGGGATTCCCAGGAGCATCCGTGACAGCCACCGAAAAGTTCGTGACAGCCAGGATGGACTCATCATCCAAAGAAGTCTGGCACTATACTTTTCTGGAGGGGATAGGCAAGAGTTGAAGTTGAGGGTAACCGGCCGAATATCGAAAGAAGAATAAACATAGGAACTGATAAGAACAAGGTGATTTTGTACAGCCCCAAAGAATTCGAAGTCTCACTCCCCTCAGTGCAATGCAAAGGATGAAATTTTCGTCATTCTGAATCTCTGATTGGGGTTTCTCTTAATGTTTTTGCATTCTATATTTTGTTTGTGATTTGTCCTTGGACAGTCCAATTTGACAGTTAACTGCTGCATGGTAGCATGAGAAATGAAAATTTCACGTTTCACATTTCATATGGGTTAATTTGGTTGCCAAATTATGGAATATATTATATAGTTCAGCCATTTCTCTCTAGTTATCATGTTCTATTTTGCTTCCTTGTTCCGTTTAGTTTTCAAGAAAATCCGTAAGAAAACTACTTCCTTGTCAACACTTTTTTTTTTTGTCAATAACAAGATTTCACTCCTCTGCAATTTGGTAAATATCTACTCGTTTTTTATGTTACATAATTCTCTCATTTTCAATCATTGAATTTAGAATATCAACTTATCTAGATGTTAATTATAATGATTTTACAATGGTTACAATATTACATGAGATAGGATTATAAGTTAACAATTCATTACACGAATAGATATATATAATATTATAGATAGATATTAAATAAAAACGATCAATTATATAATAACATATAATGTTGTCACTTTATAATGTTAAGTGTCTCCTAACTATGGTATTTTTGATTATATTAGACCGTTTGATTAGCACACCAAGAAGAATTAATTAGTAAAACAGAACGTGGGGTTGGGAAGTGCAGACGTTATTAGGTTCAGCGGTTAAACTGCCGAAGGCCGAGTTTCCCGCGGAAACAAAGAAAACTACATGCCTCCCTTGTTCCAAAACATACCCATTTCAGAAAATAAACTAATAAAAATTTCTTCCCTTCTGTTTCTGTTTCTGTTCTTCTCCATTTCCTCGTCTCTCATTTTCTGTAAAAATTCCGTTTTTGTTTCAGCATTTTCTCAGCTCTAGGAACCCCATTTCTCTCTTGGAACATTTTGCTTTCCCCCATTATTGGGTTTTTCAGATCAGAGGATTTTAGGTATGTGTACTCAATTTTCCTTTGGGATTTTGATTTCCTTTTGAATCTTGTAGATTTTAAAATGAATTCTAAATGTTTTTTTTTTTTTTTGTTCTTTTGGTTTTATGATTTAATTATTTCTAATTGATATAATGTGAATGTGTTTTTGTAACATTTTCTTTCCTCTTGTTTCATACGTTTTCTTGCAAACCAAACATACTTTAGTTAAATTTTTTGGATCATTATGTGTTTTATTTGAGTTTTTGATCGTGTAGTGATCCTTTTCCATTAGAAAACTGGGGGATGGTTTCTTGCTTCATGAGAATTTGAGATTTGCTGTGCCAACACCTTGAGCTATGTTCTGCTGCGGAGGTGAGGAGGATGATTACAATGGTCCACCAGCAAACCAAAGTCAAGCCCCACCTAGAGGTGGCAATCCATATGGCCCTGGTAATTGATTCCTCACTCCCCCTTCTCAGGCTTTCAATCTTCTTAGGCCAATTCGCATTGATTTTATGGGGTTTGATTTAATGCCTCGGTGAACCTTGATAACTGCTTCCATTCCTTGTTATGCAGTAATCTCCTTCTGTGTGTTTCAGGCAGTGGAGAGCCGAAGAGTTCCAATGTAGTTAAAAGTGGTGGAGCTCCTCAGAAAGTCCTCCCCATTGAAATTCCAGCTATCCCATTAGATGAGTTAAATAAGTTGACTGAAAATTTTGGACAAAAAGCTTTGATTGGTGAAGGTTCTTACGGCCGGGTTTTCTATGCCAAATTAAGAAATGGACAGGCTGCAGCAATAAAGAAGCTGGATACCGGTGCTTCTCAAGAACCGGACAATGATTTTGCAGCACAGGTAATGACATTGAGAAACTTCCTTAAGTTTCTTCTTTATTTCATTTTTTTCTCCTCATTGGTAGCTAACTTTCAATGTACTGTCCTGGTTACCATCAATCCTGTAGTTATCAGTAGTTTCAAGACTTAAGCATGAGCATTTTGTGGAGATGATGGGATACTGTTTGGAGGCAAATAATCGAATCCTGGTATATCAGTTTGCAACAATGGGTTCTTTGCATGATGTATTACATGGTAAGGCCTGTTTTATAACTGATGTGAGTTTTGCTTTTTGAAATTTCCATTGATTTCTGGTATCTTCTCTGTAGGGAGGAAAGGTGTGCAGGGAGCTGAACCAGGTCCAGTTCTAAGCTGGAACCAAAGAGTGAAAATTGCCTATGGTGCAGCAAAAGGCCTTGAATTTTTGCATGAGAAGAATCAGCCACCTATAGTTCATAGAGATGTCAGATCAAGCAACGTTCTCCTTTTCGATGACTTTTTGTCCAAAATTGCTGATTTTAGCTTGACAAATCAGTCCTCTGACACGGCAGCTCGACTGCATTCAACTAGGGTCTTGGGTACCTTTGGTTACCATGCTCCAGAGTAAGTATTCAAAAGTACATTAGGACCTAAGCATTAATTTGTCCATTATCTTTCTATGAATTGGAATGGACCGACCAAACTTCATTTGGGTTATATATTCTACATTATCTTTCATTCTTTTCTTTTCCTCTTTCATGCTCTCTAGTAATCAACATAAGTTGATGATCAAGAGTCAGGTCTAAGATAAAGAGATGCCGCAGGGCTCTGGGTTCAAATCTCCCAGTGCCGGTCTGATAGCCCATATATGGGTCATGAGCCTTTTCTATTGCAATGTCCAATGTCCCCAAAAACAGATATGAACAGTTTCAAGAACCATTTGACTTTGTCTTTGATTGTATGTTAGAGCAACTCTTTGTCTATTACAATGTCCATAGTCCCAAAAAACAGATATGAAGAGTTTCAATAATCATTTACCTTGGTCAATTATTCTGTGTTGACAGAACTCTGAAGTAGATATATTATTTTATCTACAAACAGCAAAGTTGAGACTATATTGCATGGGATGTCTTTGAGTGTTTTTACGGATTTTTCCCTTTGACATCTTGTGTTAGAGATTTGGATAGCCATTGGCAGTTTTGCCAAGTGAAAATGTTCTTCTGCTTGTGCCATTTGATATGATCCATCATATTACTGTTCCCATTTTTGTTTCTAATTTTCTTTCTTCCGAGTAGGTATGCTATGACAGGGCAGATAACCCAGAAAAGTGATGTCTATAGTTTTGGAGTCGTTCTTCTTGAGCTCTTGACAGGGAGAAAACCAGTTGACCATACAATGCCTAAAGGACAGCAGAGCCTTGTTACCTGGGTGGGTCTCATTTCCTTCCTGTTTTACTTCAGCTCCCTTTCTTGCCTTCCTGATGTGCGTCTAATTCATCTGCAACACTGCAGGCAACTCCAAGATTGAGCGAAGACAAGGTGAAGCAATGCGTGGATCCCAAACTAAACAACGACTACCCACCAAAGGCAATTGCCAAGGTTGTCTCTTGTGCTAGAACTACTTTCCTCGAGACATTTGGTTGATTTTTCATCTCAGTCTAAATGACATCTTGGTTTCGTTCACATGTATATTTGATACATTCAGCTAGCAGCAGTTGCAGCCCTTTGTGTTCAGTATGAGGCAGACTTTCGTCCAAACATGACAATCGTTGTCAAAGCTCTTCAGCCTCTTCTCAATGCGAAACCCGCAGGACCAGAGCATCAAGCATGACATATATATGTACACATCTTAACCATAAAACAGCAGACCTTGACTCATGTAATTTGCAACTTTTTGCATCTAAGTATGTAACCCTAGGAGGGTTTATATTTGTTGACAACAGTGATTAGTTCTTGAACTAGCATTGTTCAGAAAGTTTAATAGATTGTAAAACATTTTTTCAATGGAATGAATAACAAAAAAATACCATGTCTGTTTGAAACACCTGCTTTTGTTTGCAAAGTGATGCAAAAATAGAACATTATTAGTCAAGTGATGAAAAAGCATAGAATAGAGAACATCATCAGCCAAGTGATGATGCAAAGGTAGAGAACAACAGTTTCTCTACTGCTTTGGAGAAAAAACCTTGTAACTCTTAAAATCCAAACGTAATGATTATAAATCTAGTCAAATAAAGCACCTTTAAAATCCAAATATAATGGATCATAAATCCAGTACAAATAAAGACCACCTAAATTCTCAAAAAATACTCAATACAATGGAGCCGCCTCCATCCAACACTATCAATCTTTTATTTTTGTTTTTTGGATCTTGGCACTCTCAAGATCAACGCCTTCATTTGGTACTCTCATGATTAACGTGAATGGTTCGTCACTGGAGGTTCAGGGACTTTCAGCAGCAGGGGTATTTGAAGAGACTTGAGAAGGGTAGTGGCAATTCGGATTTTGGCCGTGTAATACAGTGCAAAAATTCTTGCCATCATCTTTACAGCCTTAGAACTAGCATGGCAGAAGAATTGTAGGAGTATCAAGTAGAATTTGATTCTTTACTCCGTATACATAAGATCAATCATGTTGCAACTCTGCTAGATCCTCATGGAAGCTTAGTCATAAATGCAAGGCCTTCCTCAAGAAAGAAAAATTGGCATTGTGAGATTTCGAAAATGTATTCCTGGAAGCCAACTCTTGCGCACATGTCGCATCTTCGAAGCTCTATTAGTTGGGCAAGGGTCAGCACTATTTTGATGAACTACCAGTAGAGTAACAAGAAGAATGACAGGATTTTCTATTTTCTATGTTTTTTTGGGCCTCAGGCCTCTCGACTTACAAATGCATATGTACTACCAATCATACCAAAAGAGAAAGAGCGTAACTAAAGTTAGGTGTGAACAAAAAAAAAAAGTATCATCAGTTTAATACATTGCATAATATATTTATTAAACAATCATTATTTTTTAATTTAACATTAAATATAAACAAGTTTAAAAATATAATTATACACATAAAATATAAGAACTAGTTCGAATAGATTGTATTTATATTATATTTTTAATAGTTGGATTGAAAATGTATAAAAAAAAATGTTTAAAAAAAAATGTTGAACTGAGAGGGTACATAACATTTTTTATAAAAAAAATTTACTCCCTTCTAACACCTAATTTTGTTGAGGTAATGTGTTAAACCTTGTAGAATCCAATATATCTTACCATTTGATGGCATATGCATTATAATTCCAATTGTTGAATTCAGATCTCATACCATATCATGGGATATATATGTATTATGATTCTAATTAAATTCTTTTTTAGAGTAACAATGTAACTATTTTATAAAGATAAAACTCTTAAATTATGATTCAGGTTATGGAATCTTTGGTTGCTCAAATATTTATATTAGGTTAAACCCTCAATTTGGTTCCTAAATTATTTATGGATTCTCAATTTGATCTCTGAACTAAAAAAATTTATGATTTGATCCTTAAACTATTGTACAGACCCTCAATTTGGTCTATATACTGTTTACCAATTTATCCCAAGTTGGTTTTTTCGTCTAAAAAATAACTGACGTATTCGTTACTTAACGATGAAAAATAGTAATTTAACGATGAAAAACAATAACTTAACGGTCACATATCACGTTAATAAGAATACATGTTAGTTGGTTTTTATACAGAAGGATCAACTTGGGGTAAATTGGTAAATAATAGG